TATATACATTTGAATAGAAAAAAAATTATATAAGGCAGACAACGGTAACAACAAACGTCTGATACAAAGAAAAGAAAAGTAAAATATGTCATTGTTCCACTTAATTGTATAATTTTTCATGCAATAATATAATTTCTGCTTAAAATCACCAATCAAACAAAAAACGAACAGACAAAAATCATCTATCAGTTACAAATGATCTAACACACGTCTAATGTACAAAAAAAGAAAGAAAGAAACAAGATTTTTAAAGAACCTTTAGAGCAAATGTATCAAATATAATAATTATTATGACTATAAATAAAATGAAAGCATTTACTGTATAATTTGATTATCGAGAACAAATTAAACTACCCAATCTTCTGCCACCGAAATAACAGCTCAACACCTCGTGAGTAACATGTAGGTGCTAATGGAAATCGCGTGTCACATGAGTATGGCAAAGCAAAGAAAAGGTTGTCTCCTTTGTACCTTATTCTGCAGAGTTGGACGAGTGACACTTCAATAAAAAAGGGCATTTTCTTTTTACGTGTTTTATGTTCCCATAGAAACAATTTGGAACATCTTGGATGCGGGCTTCGATCTAGCCAGTCAAAGCCAAATCAACAAAAAGACCGAGATACTTGTTAAAATAAAAATTCTCCCCTTACGGAAATCGATCTCTGGCTTTTGCCCGCTTCGTGTATCGTATTCCTATTGTAGAGGATCTTGCAGAGAATAGCATGAAAGTTGTACTTGTATACCTGTCTGTTTTTCTTGGAAGCAACTAAGTGTGTAAAGCATTTTGCGGTGAATCATTTCTTTTGATGAGGCAATATCTCCCTAACATCTTACTCCAATTCAAAGAAATCTTGTATTTAAAAGCAATAGAGTATGAAATACAATTGGCACAGCATAAACCGCGGGGGGAAAAAATTTGACATTTATTGCCTTTCACTGGTTTCGACATTTACAAAACTCTGAGAGAGCCCTGCGCTTAAACTGCTGCATCACTGTTGGTTACAAAGACACTAACCTACTAATAATTTTTAAAACATTAATGCAAGGTTCGATTTCGAGAGCGGTCACATTGTTTCCACCCTTTGGATCCAGGCATCCTATCGGGAAATAAAGCACTCACTTTTAGAAAGGTCTGTTCCGAGTGTACAAGAGCTCTACATTTCACAAGAATCTAAGAACAAACTGTGCACTATCTTAACACATTATTTGTTCCAGATACTTATTATTCGTCTTTTTTTAAAAGGACAAAATCTTACAGTTCACAAAGTACACCTTGCCGAAACAACTGTGAATGAACACTTCACGTATACGCCCTCCCTTCATCAGTCAGGGCTTCTGATGGTTTTGCATTCCGCAGAAATCAATACAACGCCCAACATCACGGTGAATTAGTCATCTGTTTTATAAATGAATTCAAGCAATGTATAATATATACACAGCACGAGGTTCTACCTGTCGCGACACTTGTGCTGTGTTCCATCGGGATCGTGTTATAGCCAAGGGGTTGCAGTACTTTCTAACACGGGGTGGGGATACAATAAAAACATGTCAGAGTCAGTTTATAATTGAGAGAGGAATTAATTTACTAGTTTAATAGCACACAACAGATCGATGTGGAGCATACACACCCGTGGCATGCCTCGTGAGGTCCTTGGCATGCCTCGTGAGGTCCTTGGCATGCCTCGTGAGGTACGTGGCACGCCTCGTTTGATAGCACCATTGCATTATTACCCGAAAGGCATAAGCTTGTACTCGTAATAATTACAACAGTATATATTATGTGAAGGGATATTATTTCTTGTGCTACAAGCGGCTAAACCAAGTGTTGTGACTATTGTTTTCGTACACCATATACCCGGTAAAAAAAAACGTTTTGGGTTACGTTGTATTGAAGTTCAAACGTTTTCCTAATCTTCTCCTCCTAGTCGAAAGGAGGCGCACGCGCAAGGTAGGGGAGTAGGGCGGGGGGGGGGGGGGGGGGAGATGAGCTTTTACTCAGTAAATATCAAGCTGGGTTATGGTGCAAATGGGTCAGGTTCGAATCCACAAAGTGGTGATCTTGAGCTTGTGTTGTCTGATAAGTTTTCATGGTTTCCCATCTGCCTAGCGCGGCTCTATTGCAGATGGACTTTAAATTCGAAGGTCTCGCCTCTAACATAACCAGGGGTGTTTAATCCACGATCAACACAATAACAATTTAGTAATAGAAAGGAGGACAGACGAGTTATATTGAAATAGATTTCATTGTCCAGTGATAAAAGGAAAAGGTGAATCTCAATAAAGTAAAAAGAAATACGTTTAAAGTAGAAACGCATATTTTATTAATAGAAATACAATACTAATACTAGTAATAGTAAACAATGCTGTTCTTGTTTGATATTGCACATAGGCTATAGGTAACCGTTGCGTGTTATGTCAAAAGCCTTTTCCGATAGGACCTCCTATTCATAGTCATGAACGAAAAACAGGTCAGAGCAGAAGTTTTTATGCCTTGAACATTCCAAGAGGCGATGTGTTCTTTTCCTTTCTGTCGATACTGGGTGCTATTATTCTATAAAAGTGATGAAAACAATAATACAAATAATACTAAAACTAGTAATAAAAAGCATCATCATCATCGTCATCAAACTACTGCTGCTGCTGCTGCTGCTACTACTACTACTACTACTACTACTACTACTACTACTACTACTACTACTACTACTACTACTACTACTACTACTACTACTACTACTACCACTACTACTACTACAATGATAGTAATATTAATGATAATAATAATTAATAATAACAACGACAAAGGACAATGATGATGATGATGATGATGATGATGATGATGATGATGATGATGATGATGAGGATGATGATGATGATGATGATGATGATGATGATGATGATGATGATGATGATAACAATAACAATAATGTTAATAGTTACGGAGTGCACATACATTAACGCACTTCCTTGCTTGGAACTAGGCTCACAACGTTTTATAAATCATAATATGTTGTCTTCCACCCCTTTCCACACGCACGTACACACATACATACACACACACACACACACACACACACACACACACACACAAACACACATACGTGCGCACACACACATACACACACACATAAACATACATACGCGCGCACACACACATACGTACACACACACACACACACACACACACACACACACACACACACACACACGGACCAATACCCATTCACTCACTCACTTACTAATTCACAAGCAGCATACTACGAATACATGTAGATCTAGGCCTATTATGGTGTTTGGGTTTTTTGTTTTACTTTGGGCTGAGGGGTTGTTGTGGGTTGGTGTTATCTTTTTGGTTTTTTTTGTTGTCTTTTTTTTTGGGGGGGGGGATGAAAACGGTCAGCTAACTTGATCATTTAGTTCAACAATCGAGTTCTCAGCTTCTGTCTGAGTTCATAACACATGCTTAGCCTGGGCAGGCAGATGATGTTGTCGTCCGACACAGCACAAAGCAAGTCAGTTGGCAGACTATCCACGGTCACTTGGTCTACAAGAATCATCAGCCGGTGTGGGTTTTCCGGACCCTGGGCGTACACAGACATCTTTGCTGTGAAATGTCCCCACTCGTCACTGATCAGGAAACGTGGAGTGACCACCAGCAGTGTCTTCCAGCTGCTGTTGATGGCCTCAGCTATACTATTCGCCATTGGTTGGTTTGGGATCTGATCACGATCACGAACGTAACACGTCAAACCCAGCTCGTCTTCTATGAAGGCACGGGGAACAAGGCAAGGGAATTGGTAGTCCTCCTCTGCGTATCCGATAAACACCCCGATGTTGTAGTCTGCTCTCGTCTTGAGCTGGAAGTCGTGGAGGAAGACCTTCATGGCGAACGCCTTTATGTATCGCTTGTGTCTAGAGACAAGAATGACGAGTAAGAAGCCTGTCAGAAATAGCGTTGCTGTCATCAGGGAGAGGAGAAGGTACGTCTTGCCCACACAGCGTCTCCACAGAGCGCGGATGTCCTTGACGTGTGGAAGGGGAGAGAGAAATTGACGCTCCTCTAGCCACAAACAAGTATAGTTCCTGTCCTCGTCTAGTGTGACTCGTGTGAGGCGGAGCCACAATAAGAAGGATACATCTTCACAAGTACAGGAGAACGAATTCTCTTGAATGTAAACTTTAAAATCGCGTTGTGTTAAGGAAAATTTGTCGATTTGATTTCTTTCATGCACAGTAAATTGCTTTATATTATTTGCTCTCATGTCTAGCTCTTTTAGAAGAGGAGTGTTACTCAGCTCAACCGACAATGATGCTAATCTATTTCCCTTCAAAGAGATGATTCTTAGTTCTTTATTATATGCAAAAATATCAGCAGACAATGCTTCTAAACCATTATGCGATAAGTTGATAGATTGTAATGACTTCAGATGGCGAAATAACCTCTGTCCTAGACCAAACAAGAATTTGGAACTCATCTGACAATATGACAGATCTACCAGTTGTAGGGAGGGGAGTTTATCGAAAACCCGCTCACTTAACTCAGAAATATTGTTTCTTGAAAAGTAAAATCGCTCGAGATTATCTAAACCCCTGAAAACAGCGGGCATCTTAAAAAAGCCGCTGCCTGAAAGGTCTAAATCAGTGAGGTTAGTGGCATTGTCGAAAACAATTTCCCCAAACTGCATATCCGGATACACTTCTGACGAGTTAGAACGATTAAAAACAAGCAGATTCTCAGATAGTGTATATGTTAAACTCATATTGAAATACTGTTTACAGCTGTTTTTCGTACCCATCTTTTCGGAATATTCTGGCAATAGAGATGGTTTTTCCTCCATCAATTTGTCAAAGACAGGAATATCAGGAAACATGTCTTGAAGGTTAACAATCTTAAGTTCTTCAAGGCTTTTCCATATTGAAATGTCTATCCCTTGGAGACCGACGTAATCCGCTGGTGGCACACTAAACAGTCCCTTTATGTTATCTGATAAGTCTAAATACTTCGCGCAAGAAAGTAACAATAATCGACTCGTCGAGCTCTCTGGACCAATATCAAACTTGTGTATTCTGTTATAACGCAAACTGAGCCGTTCGATGCATACGCTGGTCAGGGCGTCATACTCACGATTCTCCTTGCCCCATGCTATATCCGGTTGACCATAATTTACATTGTCAAATCTTACTTCCCTCAGTTTCCTTTGAGAAAATGGGGACAGACTTAGAACAGCATTGTTTAAGCCTATTATGCTATTGAAGAGGGTAAAGCTCTCAAGATGGCGCAGAGGGAGTAATGCTTGGCTATGAAAGTTTCTAAGTTGTTTTGCTTCAATTGAGCATTTTTTCACTTCAAGACCCCTAAAAGCTTTGAAGTAATCCCTCGAAATTTTCCCAGTAACTGAATTAACATCCAGTGTCGTCAGATTTGGCATGAGATTTTTAAAAGTATGGTACCTCTTATTCGAATCAATAAAGTCATGTATATCTAATGAAAACGTGGTCAGCAGTGGTAGCTCGGAGTCTTCGGTCAGGAACTCTAAGTCTGTTTCACTCAACGTGTTCGAAGCAGAGAACGTAGTATCATTATCATGTTGTAGAAAGTGATTACTTATTACGTTGTTGACGTCTGTTTGATTCTCCGGTACCTCAAATAAACAGCCAAAATCATTGCCACGTAACAAGAGGTACTCCAATTTTACAAGGGGCGCGAAAACAGCACGAGATATAGCAGGTTTATCTACGTCGCAACCGGAGTAAGCAAGTCTGTTGTTTTCTAAGTTCAGATATTCTAAATTCGTCACGTCTTGGAAAGCATCATGTTCTATTTTGTTAAGCTCGCCGTGGGAGATGCTCAAGACTCTCAGATCGGATCTACCTCGTAAGAAATCCCGCGTCAAGGAAGAGAAACAATTATAATCCAGCAGAATTACTCTGGTCTCCATGGGAACCATGAGACTTGAAAGAGCCGCTATATTCAAAGCCCGACAATCTGCAATGGTATCAGAAGCACTGTGCGAGACGTTGCAAGGAGAATTCATATATTTTATTCTTTTGGAAAATGGCGGGCTTGTTTTCCTTGAAATTTCGATTCCTCCGCCATGAACATGAAACAGCGGGTGAAAAAGACACAAAAGCATAAGCGGAATATAAAATAACTGGCACATTCTGAAACTGTGAGATAGGTGACACGGGACAAGCGAACGCATTGTTAATATTATAAGTGTATTATTCTTGGCAAATTTGGACCGAATGCTCCTTTAGAATACATGTACACGTACTGCACTTTTACACTGGTGTTCTCGGCTTGAAACTTGAAGTACAACTATCATTAATTAATCAATCAAAGCGAGGCCAACATTCAGGCTTCCTGCACGATACAGTAATGGTGCACATGATTCTGTCAATCTCATGATCCCAACTAGTACTGCTTGCAAAACAAGTTCGTTCGTCATCCACAGATACTATAATAATTTCTTGCAGCCTATTTTTATAACACTACTATCATGCATCCCATGGGCAAAGTTAGCTCCTGGAAGTCTCAAGGAAATGACATCAAGAAAGGCAACAAATAAAATCCCACTAAATGAACAGTTCTTGATCAGAGCATGCGTTTCCAGTGGTTTTCTTCTCTTACAAAGTACAGGTACAGTGATGAGTTACAGTTCCTTTAACATAACACAGATCTTCTCTTGACGATCAATAATTCTGTGGTACCAGAACAAAGTCATGTCGAGGAACGTTCCCGGGGCTGATACGGGTCAGAGCATTCAACGAAAATGTATGGGGCTGGGCGGGGTTGGGGGAGGGGAAAGTTGATGTGTGAGAGAGAGAGAGAGAGAGAGAGAGAGAGAGAGAGAGAGAGAGAGAGACAGAGACAGAGACAGAGACAGAGAGATAGAGAGACAGACAGACAGACACACACACACAGGATACAGATAGAGAGAGAGAGAGAGAGAGAGAGAGAGAGAGAGAGAGAGAGAGAGAGAGAGAGAGAGAGAGAGAGAGAAAGAGAGAGAGAGAGAGAAAGAGAGAGAGAGAGAGAGAGAGAGAGAGAGAGAGAGAGAGAGAGTTGTCCTTATTATGTATTATTTCCGGTTCAGGCGGCACATAAGCTTGCATAATTTGCTTTCGGGTGTATAAATATAAGGTACGTAGGCCCTACATATTTTGTACATTCTTTGAATTTTCCTGGCAGTCTACCAGAAAACGAGCAAAGCAGGACCTGCCGCAACACAATCCAGTCAGTGAGAAGGGCAATTTGTGTGTGTTTGTAACATACATTGTAAACAGAGGCAGAAAAAGGGGGGGGGGGAAGGGGTTGGGGTGGGAGGCTAATCGTGAAAGTGTCCATTGACATTTTTATAACGTTTACAAGTGTGATACATTCAAGTATCCTATGCTCTACCCTCCATGAAAAATATTATTGACTGTCTCAAAATAGTCTTGTAATAAATTACGATCGAAAATTGTATTTTTTTTGCCGGTATTCCTATGTAAAGCGCATTGAGCTACTTTCTTGGAAATGCGCTATATAAATGTTATATATATTATTATTATTTTGTCCTTTTTCTTTGACACAGGAACACCACTAGATCTAGTTCCATTAGCATCACTCTAGATTACTCTGTGAGTGGATCTGATTCGAATCCCGTTTCGAACTTGGGCTGTCTGGGAAGTTTCATGGGTTTTTTTTTCCAGCAGCTGGGCATGGTCTTCTTATAAGAAATTGCCGTCAAATTGGAGGACCCACCTTTGAATAAATTGTCGTCTCGAAAGATGTATGTACCGGTATTACTTTACATCTTACGAAACTGTTAGATACATGTAACAATTAGACAAGGAAGTTCAAACAAGGCTGTCTTCACCTTCCACCCCCCCCCCCAAAAAAAAAAAATGGTGAAACGGTAGGCTATAGGTTTAAAGCCCTATCAACACAATTACGTTATTTAAGAGGCGGGACCTCCGAATTTCACGCCCATTTCCGAAAGGATCGAATCAAATAGGAAATTCGTGCAAAGTGCCTGCCCCCAAGGACACAATGGTGGGCCGAGCTGAGACCCGGAACCCCGAACCTGCAATCTAACGATTATGGGTCTGGTAGCCTAACCACTAGACCACCAACGCCACCTTCCATCCCTAGAGAAGGCAAATGGGGCAACCTTCAACTTCAACTGGAAATGTTATGTTGTCGTCAATTTTTGTGACAGTGAGGATGTTATCATGACATACAATGCAGCCTCTCTATAAGTATAACAACATCGTCGGGAACAGAAAAAAATGTTCTATGTATGTATGTAGTATAGGGTTTTACGGCGCTCGCAACTGCTAAGGTCATATGAGCGGGCGAAACACAAGTTGTTTACTTTCGCAAAAGTTCACTCCACGACTGGTCAACTAATTGACTTTAAAATGCTAAAATGTTAAAATATTATTATTAAAATTTAGTGTAAATATATTTGTGATTTAAAAAAAACTCTTATAAGTAACAATAAAAATTTTAAATAGTACGTTTTCATTTTTCATTTTACAACTTGCCATAAAGGCCAATAGTCTTTATAAAATTCAAAATTCTGCTGGGAACAACGACGGAAAAAATTTCTTGCATTTATAATACTTCCTTCGGATCTCTCCAAAGTCTAGACATTCTGTTAAGATGTGTCTAATGGTAAAATCTGTGTCGCATCCGACACAGAACGGCTTCTCATCTCCCTGTAGGAGGTATTTGTGGGTCAGGGCCGTGTGTCCGATGCGCAATCGAGTAAAAATGACTTCGTCTCTTCTGGAGAGGTCCGAAGGATTTCGCTGTTGTAGTTTGGGTTTAATTTCATATAATTTATTATTTTTCTGCTTTTCCCAGTGGCTCTCCCACAGACTGGAGGTGTACTTTTTGACTTTATTTCTAAAGTCAGTCTGTGGGAAAGTGTTTGTCGTTGATCCCAGCAGAAGGGATGAAGCTTTCTTCGCCAGTTCGTCTACCTGCTCGTTTCCTCGGATGCCCACATGGCTGGGTATCCATGCGAACATGATGTTTTTTCCTGTTTCGAATAGTGTATGAATTTTCTGTTGTAGCCTAACTATTTTTGGGTGTAAGAGTGTGTAGTTTGTGAGTGAGGTGATGCAAGACAGAGAGTCAGAAAGGATAAGGAAAGATTTGTTAGGAGAATTTTCTACAGAGTCCAGTGCCATGTCAATGGCAGTGGCCTCCGCAGTGAAAATGGAGGCTTCAGGATGGAGTCTCCTCTGGTGTGTATTGTTGGGAGATAGGGCTGCGGCGCCCACTTCATTGTCTTTTTTGGAGCCATCCGTGAAGATGAGCTCCGCACCGGGGTATTTATCTATTAGTTTTTTGTATTCTGTTTTAAAAGTGTTTGTGCTTTCTTTGTTGTGCGTGGTCAGCTGTAAGTCTACTTTTGCCTTGGTGAGGTGCCACGGAGGGAGGTCGGGGAACGGAGGGAGGTCGGGGAAAAGAATTTGTTGGATGTCTTGTTCAAGAGAGTTGTCGTTTTCAGTGGCAACGAAAAATATTGTAATGAAAAATCTTATATTATAAGATAAAATCAGGACCAGGGCACCATGTCGTTATAGAGAGGTTGCGCTGTATTACATGTAATTAGCTGTCCTCAAGAGTTTATGCAACACGCATTATAATTTAGCAAAATTTGATCATTTTTTGCATGATCTTTATTTTCCTTTGTCATGCCTTACAATTGTATCTCACCACAATGCCTCACAATTGTATCTCACATCCGCCATTGCGATGATTTTAGATTAGTTTGGACTGCATAAACATAGAAGAAGAAGAAACTTTAAGTAATATGAAAAGAAAGTAGACAGTCATCGGAGTGCTTTCAATTAACACCTGTGAGAAAGAAACTAAAAATTCTGAGAAAAAATATGAGGGAAGATGTGTTCCTCCTAGTTTATCTATGACTTCAACACACACAATATGTAAGTCACAAAAAAATGAGAGTAAAATCAGTAAAAAGTAGAAATCCCACCAGTTTATTATTACATGTATTATGTACATTTGGATCAGAATTTACACAAGAAAAAACCAATGTGTATCACAAAGTCAACCACAGAATATGATATGAAAGGAAAAAAAACCAATTCCTGCAGCAAAAACACTAATACTACGCTGGGTCACCGCAATGAATCCCTGCTGAACAAAGTTGCTTTGAATAATTCATATTGCAAAACATTCTACATGAACTCAGGGTAACCGTGCTATACTATCATTTACAAAAATAATAATAATAATAATAGCTCATCCCTCACTGTCTGACAATGACCAATGCACCTGCAGAGGAGAATATATCTTAATAAAGAGAAAAAGAATAAATAAGGATTAAGATGATTTGTGGTTTCTGCTATGACCAATGAGAACAATTCTGGCAGATAAGAATTTGCCACATTTTGAGCAGTTAAAAAGCTTCATTTCCAGTTGTTTTTTCTTTTTTTTAAAAAGTGCTCTTTTCGCCCTTATCAATGCAATTCTAGTCCTGTCCACATACTCACTGTAATAACTCAGACTAACGTTACACTACTATCATAAACGATGAATGTTTCATAAAGAAATTCATTAAATATATTACACATGATACATAGTATGATAATCTAATTTGCATACAAACTCATGTGTAGTTACATGACATGACATTTAAAATAAAATCTACAAACAAAAAATCAGAATAAAAATTTTGCAAAAAAAAATGAATTCCCTTATGAGCACTGAAGGTGAAACAATATTCATAATGGCCAAATCGAATTTTGAAAGCATAAAAAACAACTTGGTCTGTCAATTCCGCATGAGTCACGACGTGGTGGAATCAGGCGCTCTTCAATTTTTGGGCATATGGGGTTAATGGTATCATCTTAGAGCCTGTTTATTTGCCTTGGTTTTGGTGAAAAGAATATCCATCTATGTTAAATAGAAGTCGAAATAGATGATTGAAGGAGGTCAGGGTCGCCTAATTTCAAAGGTAAAATTAGTGAGAAATGGCCATCAAAGTTTGGTAATTTCGATAGCTAGAGAGTCATTGGAAACTGAAAAAATTATAATTTTTGAGCCTTAAACCAATGTTTTTGAGTAAAATCCACACAGAAATATGTTTCTAAATGGATATAAAAAGTGTTGAGCCAAAAAAAGAAAATTAGAAAAAATTTGCCCAACGGCAAGAAAAAGGCCAATTTCTTGGACTTCATTATTTCGACAAGAGCCTGATTTCACCATGCTGCCTAATATTTCCTCCATGGAAAGAGAACAGTTTATTCACAGACAGTAAACCAAAGATTGTATTATTCAAAGAATGGCAATCATTTAAAAATCGCTTTAAAAAAAACAAAAAAAAACTGAACTGGATTTTCCAATAGAGGACATAAGGTAATATGCATCAGTAAAGGGATGATATAAGTTTCCAGTTTCAGCTTTGGAGTCTTTGGTTTCCCGAAGTTTAAGTCTGGAAACTTCATTTCAGCTTTTACACCCCTTTATCAATGTGTTCAGAACCAATGCCAATCAAGAAAAACCGTTCAAAACTGTAGCTGAAATGACTATGAAGGACAAACCCGATAAAATATTGAATCGTATAGTAAAGAAGATTTTTTTGTCAACATTTTGATTAACATTATTGGAAAGAATTATAAAATAGTTTCTGATCTCAAGGACGCTTTACAAATACCTAATCACACAAGAAAATGCATTTTGCACAATCATGAAGAATACACCAAAGATTAACTGTGTCCTCACTCAAAAGGCCAGAAGCAAAAAGTAACTTGATTACCATTACATAACTTGCATGTCACCTGCATGTTCAAATCCTCCTTTGTACTTTCTAAACACAGTAGATTTTTTGACAAAATGACCTTACTTATAATTTTCTTTTAAAAGCTGACAAACAGGTATCAAAATCAGGGAAAGCTGGTCAAACCTAACTGAGGTGAAAACCTGGACCAGATTTCCGATATAAGATTTTATAAAAAGGTGGAACCCGACACTACTTAACAAACCAATGATAACTACACGCCATGAACATTGTGCAGTATTTTGACAAGACTGAGAATTCAACATAGTGTCAATTTTGCTATTCACAAAATGGTTTCATTTCCATCTATTAATGGGAATTACAAAGCAACCATGCTTGTGATGGGACTTTTGACTTAATGAATGCATGAAATAGCAATATAAGGAATTACATTCAGACTTATTAATAAATGACTCACATCATGCAATGTTGATCAATGGACATTCTTAACCTCATTCTACTCACTCTGTGTTCTCCAACTCACTCTACAGGATGGGCCAAAAGTAAATGGAAACAACAAACTCAACTTAATTCATAGCATGTGCTCCATGTGATTGAGACAACTTTGAAAATATTATATAATTGAATACATTTCTAGAACTAACTTCTGTGTAACTTGTGTTGAAGTTAGAAAAACCAGGTTGTGAGTACACACATCTTTAAGAGAAGTAAAGACGCAAAACCCAGTCTTCTCAGATTAAAATGAGAATCTCAGAACACCCGTTTCCAAACTGCATATTGTGTAAAAGACAGCTAATAAGTCCAAGATAAAAGAAAAGCAGGCATGTCCAAGACCAGAAGTTTGAGAGAAAAGTCTAAATTAACCCCAAACCAAAACCTGAAGAAACCTGAAAGTGAAAGAGAACTAGAATGTAAGCCTACCTTCAAAATAGCCCATGGTGGCAAAGCCAATAGAAACCCTCTTCGCGGATGAGAAAAACTGCAACACATCTTCAACATGCTATGACAACGGCTTAAGTCAGAATTTGGCTAAAACCACACCAAACCATAGGGGTGTTTTACGGGTGCTCTGGTGTGGTTTGCTCCTTCTTTCCTATCAAATAATAATATCTATGTCCTCATCTCTCCTCCTTTTTTCTTTGTATCCTACTCTCTCAAAACACCTTTATTCTTCAGCACTTATATGAACTATTTGTGTTGCAAGTGTGGTAAAACTCTTACTAAAACTAAACAAAACTAAGACTAACCCATGATGCCATTCCATAAATGATGACCTACCACTGCTTCATAACACTGGTAAATACATTTACAAATTTCCAGTCCATAGAAAAGAAATATCTTTGGTCTAAGTCAGGAAAAAATAATGAAATTAAATAATTAAGAAATTTCTTCCATTTTTACTCAACGCATCGATAAAGGATTAGGCCATTGTCATAGCATGTTAACTAAATGAAAAATTATCAAAAGCATTCTGGGCTGACACGAATAGCCTACAGCTGATTTCCTCCGAGACAAAGAAGGAGAACCCAGAAGGAGTAAAGATGGAAAGATTATGTGCATTTTTGAAACACTGTACACAACAGGAACAATTTCACTTTGAAAACTCAGGCCAGGTCACAGTCACCAGCGACATTCAAACACTTTTGCTCTGTCCCCACCCCCTCCCAGATCGCTTCCCCCTCACACATACAAACCCCCATTTTTCTCTTCCTCACATAGTCCACAGCACACTATGCCCCTGTGTAGAGGGACAAGAAATAAACATAGAGCAGGAAAATGGGATAGAGGAGGAGCGGTTTCTTGTGCTGTAACTCCTGCACACACAGCAAGGAGCCTGCGCTGTAGGCAGCCCACACCACTCCCAGCAACTGGAGAGCAAAAGAAATACTTTGTGAGCAATTGAAACTAATGTATAGTATGGTATCATAGAAAATGTCCACTTTTTTACACTATATGACTACAAAGGCAATGCATATATTGTTCCTCACTTAACGTGGATTTCTACGAAATAATAACACAATAAAACAAGTTAACGGTAAAGGAATGAAGCAGGGAATTCAGAATAAGCATCCACATAAAATGTGTATAAACAGTTCTAGCAAGCCAATAAGCTAGAATACTTATAAAATGTTCAATTCTTGTACATGTGAAGAGTCCTTCGAGACACAAATACATCATTTGGAAGTCAGGCACACAATTTGGGGTTTCAGCCGTCCTTTTAAAAAAAAAGAACCTTAGTAGATAGATCACTACAAAAAAAAAAAGAAGACAGGACTGAAGTTAGGATGGTGAAAAGATTTTACCAGTTGTCAAAGAAGAAGTGCTGTATATGAATTGCACCCCATCCAGGGAAGAGTTGTGAACCTTGTTTGTGCAAAGATAAACTTTTTTCCCCCTTGTCCACATTGTGTGCCAAAATTCTTTGCATATATATATATATATATACAAACCAACTCTCAGTTCATCTTGCCAAAAGAAAATGAGGAATAACAAAGAAGCTGAAAATAGGTGGCTCCTATCAAAGACTGACACTATTTCTGAATCATAAGAATCTCAACAAAAAAAAAGTGAAAATTATTATTGTACTCACTTTGAACGCCATACTTAGGTAGTGCAGTGAACGCACCAGAGGAAGTATGCATGCAATGATGAATAACGGTAACACAGAGTAGCCAATCACACCAAGGCACTGTGAATACGTCACCTGAAAGATAAAGCACACACAAAATAAGACAAGTTCAATTTTTGTTTAATTTTGATTTCTGAAACTAACGAAAAGAAAAAGGAATGTAAACTTTTTGCTGCGTAAGAACTAAATAAGTGACATTAAAGTTCAATATGATGAGGCTTCAATTAGCTTGAATCATCTTGCTGCACTTTCTCACTGGACAAAAAAGAGATAAAATCATCCAACTGTAACATATGAAAAGTTAAAGTAGATAGTCACGGACTGACATTTAGAAGGGGATAAGTTCATAAACTTTTCACAAACTCCCTATTAAGTTTGCCAACAGCCAAACAAATACATTTTTGAGTAATGTACGCCTTTATTTGATCAGACAAGGGTTTTTGACAATTTTAAATTTTGAAATACATCCACACTGCATGCACGGCGAGGAATACTCTTTGTTCTTTAAACTCAACATGCAAAGGCGACTAAAACACCATGTGACATTCTAGTCTTTCTGTCATGAACTCTTGAACAGTAAGAACTCTATCACTTATCCTCGAACCAGGAGTGTGGAAAGTCTAAGTAAACAAATATGAAGTTTGATTATGTAGGTACGGACTAGAATCATATAACTGGTAACTTTGGCAGGCACGATACATGTACCTGCCACATAGTTTCAAAGGATACGAGGTAATTAGATAGATAAATCATTCAATGGGACTGAAATGTAAGATCAAGCAATAAAAAAAGGTTACTCCACTATAAACCTCCCCCCCCCCCCCCCCCTGACACACACACCCCAGCCATCCACAAAATGCATTATAGAAGGATCCTTACTTCTCCCCCAAGAACTCGGGCCAACAGAAACACAAGAAGAGAGCCAACAATCCAAATTGTTAAGATCCATGACACCACCTGGAGAAGAACAATAAAACAAAAAAGTCAAACAAAATATTAATTGGCACAAAATCAAAACCAAACTGCACACCCAAAATTAGACAAATTTCCATTGCACTTTATGTTTCACTCCCTCTTGTTCATTGTACTTGCAAATAAAAGAACAAACCAGCAGGTGCAATACACATTTGAAAATAAATCACATGTCTTATCATTGACTTTCAAGGAATTAGCAAGAAGAAAAATCACTATATTTGTAAGGCAATTATGTTAAATATCTATATATACTTACAACACTAAAGATGCAATGATAAGTCTACTAACATTAAATGATCATTGTTTGGATAATTACTAAAGTTTTTACTTGTTGAAGTCTCCTTGATTGTCCAGATGAGCCTACATGGCAGATACCCTTATGCCAAAATACACGTGAAAACAAATCATTCAACATTAAATTCACCAGATATGCATGAGTATTCACATAACACATGTTTGCATTCTGAGCAGTGATGAGGACTTACCCTAAACTGCCCATATAATGAAATGATGGCATACAATAATATCACAATTAGTGGGCCCCAGAAGTCAGGACTTTCTCTGACGATGTGACGATTAAATCCGAGCTGAGGCAAGGGGAACATTACACATCTCAGTTTGTAGTAGATGTCCTTTAGGTCGATATCCAGTTCTTCCCTGCGGCAACATAAATAAAATCAATTTAACAACAGCACCAACAGAGAGGCTTTATGCAAAACAGACATCGCTGAACATTTCACAAAAGCAATACACATGAAAGTGCCGGGAGGCTTTCCTAAATAAGTATAGTCAAAATTATCAAGATGCAGGGACCATTAAAAATTACTGAACAGTAAAAAGAAGTCTTTGTCCCAACTATTACAAATGGGGATACTGATTTTCTGATCATTAAATAACTTTTCAGACACAAACTTTGGGTAATTTGTTCCCCTGTTTTCAAAGTATCAAAACTAGAAAATACAGAATGTGAACGCCCTGTGTGTATGATAAATTCTGGAATTGTGCATAATGCTGTTGCAAGACAAGGAAATTTGTGCAGATAAACCATCCAAGGCTTGAACAAGCATTTTAATATCCCTGGAACTGTCCAAGACAGGCCTAGAAGTGGCCTACCATGGGCGACAACTTGACACTTGGATAAGCAAGATTGTCAACACTTACTTTTGAAATTTGTTCCAACCAAGTGCAGATACTGGCCATTCAAAACAATCTAACAGGACAATGGTAATGTGACAAAAATCTTCGTCTCATCTTCGGGCCTATATGGCAGAGCACTCTGGAATTTGCCAACACGACAACGCCCAACCCCATGCAGTCATAATTAGTCACAACTCCTTCCAATCTCATCAAATCAATGTTCTGGACTGGCCTTCAAGATAAACAGGTTTTTAATCCCACAGAATGTCCATAAGGTGATCTTGAATAAAAGATTAGAAATAGGCTGCACCCTGTGTGAATATGTCAGAAACTGGAAACTCCTGCACTTCATGAGGAATGGCAGGGGATTCCTCACACAACAAAGACATTAATTCAGTCGATGAATGGACATTTTGTAGCAGTAAATCAAGCTGGAAAAGGTCATGCACAATACTGAGAAAACTTTGAGTTAGATTTTGCGAGGGCCAGTGTGAATAAAGTTACCTCTCTTGAATAAAAATGTACAATGACCAATTCTTTTCATGTCATGTAGATAGAAAAGGAATGAAAATCATACATGCCAAATTTGGTTCCGCTATGTTGAATAGCGAACAAGTTATTGTACTTTCAAGATGGGTGTGACAGAATTTTTGCAACTTGGTATAAATGGTTCTCGCCTTAACGTCGATAAGCAATGCTTTCACTTTGACTCTGTTAAAAAAATTATTTTATTAAACCACAAAATGTGATAAAACCTACAATGTGACTTGTATTAATGTCATCATACTTTGAATTTCAAAGGTCCCATAAAAGAGGAAGTAATTTTCTTTTCTTTTTATATGACTTCCTGTTTGTGACCATTTTTTTGGTGTATTGACAATTTCCAATTATCATCATGTTCTCAAAACCAAAGAAAGTAGAATAAAAACAATAAGGAAACAATTTCCCAGAACTGTACAGCAGAAATGTTGATTTTTCAACCTCAGATACACAGGCAGAAAAAAGCCACCTGTGCCGGGAAGAAAGCCCTTTCAAATCAGCCAAAAACTTCGAAAAAAATATCCCCAGAAAAGACAAATCAGGGTTGTTTTAATACTTAAAATATCAAGGCTGAAAATAAATTAAATCAAAAGCTACTCACAAAAAAACTATGACAGGTTTGTGTTGGATGAGCTATACCAGTGAATATGAGTTTAACAAGTATTATATACAATATGTGAGGCAGCGTGGTGAAATCAGGCGCACATCAAAATAATGAAAGTGAAGAAACTGGCATTTTTTTTGTGCAGGATTGTGAATTTTTATTGAATTTTTGTTTTATGGCTCAGCACCTTTCATGACCTTCAAAGACACATTTCTTTCCGGATTTTACTGAAAAACATTGAAAGGCACAAAAAAGTAAATTTTCAGTTTCCACGGACTCTCAAGCTATGGAATAACTTACTTTTGCCTAATTTTATCTCTGAAACAAAGAGACCGCCACCTCCTTCAATCGCCAATATATATCTGGACTCATTTTCACGACAAATGGATATCTTTTCATCGAAAGCAACAAAAATAAACAAGCTTTAAGAAGATATCAAACCCACGAGCTCAAAAATTGACGAGTGCCTAATTCCACCGAGTCATGACATATATATTCAGCAACTGTCTCACAGCGGTTAAAATATGTTACACAAATCAGCGACAGTGACAGTCAAAATTAGAATTTTACTCCGAAATAGACGAAATTTTTTGCACAAAAATAAAGAGACACGATTACACCCTAATGAAAAGAAGTAGGTACCAGAAACTAAATTTCAAAGTAGCTGTATGCCAAATTTATCTGTTACATATTAAATGCCTATATCTCCTGGGAATTTTGATACTATTCTTTAACCTCTCAGTCATTTTTTAAGAAAATGGTAGCTGTTTTAAATATGATCAAATTTGCTTAAGTCGCTAACTGGCTGCAACCCCATGTTTGACAGATAATAAGACAGTAGAGAGTACCAAGTGCACAAACATCTTCACATTAACAGTGTAATCACTATAACTTAAGCCTACATATGAAGCTTAATTTTTGTAAGACTTTAAAATCATTACAAATCAGTATTTTATTGCCTCAAACACGATGATATGTCGTTATTTCGACAAAAACAACGAGCGCTGACCTGTCCAGAGTTGCACCAGCCCCCGCGGTGAGCGAATCTGCTCTATATTGCAGTGCACCGAGTGCTCCGCGAGTGGGGGGTCACATACTTTCAGAGTTTCACAGAAAGATTGATGCAAAATAATTCCAAGCATACTTTATTCTAATAGAAAATAAACTGATCTTTCTATTGGTACCTTTTTTGAGCTGATAGCTTTGAAACTTTTGACAGTATTTTTAAAGGCTTTCTAATAAACGCCAAAGGCCAAAAATATACCACGGGTAAGCCCTTTCAAAGCTCTACAATTCTCCGTCATTGAAAAGAAGATATTTAATCATCAATCTTTCCGCGAAGCATTTGAATGCAAGCGTGTCAATTTTTGAAATGGCCGACCACGTGCTTCGACCGTGAGAAGCTTCGCTTTCCACGGCGATTCTCCAGCTCCTAATAATCGGACATGTAAACAACTTACACCATTGTAACGAGGAAAGGCTGAACTTTTTCAAGAAGTACAGCATTTGGTGTTTCATAGCAAAAGAGCAAAAAAACCCAGCGATCTGAATTACCCCGATTTCAACAAAAGCACGTGCTCGGAAGGCCACGAGTGCCCACGAGGCTGTGTTTATGCCACCTAAAAGAAGAAGAATACATTAAAACTTTTATAAACTTACAGAAAAAACAGAAACAAACTTTAATTATTAGTACTTACAAAATAGGCCGCTGATCTTCCTCCTCCAGATCTTCCTCTTCCAACAACCAGCCAAACCCTCTGTTCTCTAACACGGATGAGGTCATCCCTCTTTTCCTCACACCATATCCACTGCCTCCAGACTTTGATGCATTGGATGAATCAACTTCAATGGACCCTTCAATGCCATGAGTACCTAGATAAAAAATAAAATTAAAAAATTGCAAAAACAACTTACATTTCTTCACGAGTTTCAAAGAAACAAAAAACAAAAAAAATACTACAATATAGACTGAACAAGTCTGGAAATTATGCAAAAATTCACAATGCAGTTAGTAATTTAGAGACTTGAACTTGAAGGCATAATTTTCCTTTCACACCTGCAAGCAGATGCACTGCCGAAGGGGTCATTAAAATTTTTGTTGTTTTTTTGTTTTTTTTTGGGGGGGGGGTTAAAGGGGGGTGTAGAGAATATATATATAGGACGGATTTTAAAAAACTTTTTTTTAGCTTTATTATTATTCTTTTAGAACTGTTTCCGAAAGGTCAAAACAAAATTAAATGTGTCAGGCGAGGAAAAACAAACAAATGGGTTGCCACCAATCAGCGAATGAGCAACACTTCTGTCGCCAGTTTGTGTTGACTTACATTGTTATGGTTGGGTTTACGGACTGGGTTGTGGGCAGGGCTTTTATAGGCTATGATGGATCACACGCTTACCTTACCAGCAGCTGAAAATTTATTTTTACCCATTGGTCAACTTGTAAACACTGAGAGCGACCTAAGCAACATGACCATTTCAACAATTGGAGGAACTGACAACGACAGGTGAATGAATTATGACAGCTTGTCCACAGCTTCAGGTGAAAATGTATAATTTTTTACAAAGCTTGGCCGTCTCAGGGAGGTAAATTTGGCCATGGGTCGATAGAATAGGGTGACCGCAGCCGTGTTGGACAGGTACCAATTTTAAACAGTTTAGAAAAAACACAAAGGGGGAAATGAAAAGTGACCGTATTATACAGATGGCCGTCACGGCAGGTTCAATTTTATTTAAATAAAATACTGAATGCTGGTAATATCCAAAAAAGCAGCAAACCCAAGTTGTAATCTCATTAGCAAAGGTGAAAAGATCAAACAAGTCCAACAGTTTAAATATCTGGGATATATATATGATAACATCTGACGCCAAATGTTCCACAGAAATAAAAAGGAGAACTACAATGGCTAAGGCTAGTTTCAATAAAATGAGCCCAATCCTGAAAAATAGAAAAACCTCAAGGAACACCAAAATGAAAGTCCTGAAATGCTATGTTTGGTCAACCCTTCTATACTGTGAATGCTGGACAATCACTAAAGACAGTGAAAATTTGATGAAGCCCACGTGGGACGCTCAATGTTAAAAACAATCAGGAAACGGCAAATGCAGTTTTTGGGACACCTGAATAGACATAAAAGGGTCTAGAACATCTAGCTCTCACTGGCAAAATTGAGGGGAAGCGAGGCAGGGGTAGGTCCAGAACAACATACTTAGGGAACCTAAACAAATGGGTAACAGTGAAAGATCAGAGAAACGTAGCTTTTTTGAGAGCATCCGAGCAAAGGAATGAATGGAAAGGGAGTGTATACAGACCCGGTAACCGGGAACAAAGTCACATAGTATACAGACCCGGTAGGGGAACTCTTTTGAGATTTGGGAAAGTTTCAGCGCCCTCTTGGCTCAGGATAGACCAGAGTAGACCTAGGTTCTTCTAGATCTATGGCCTAGGTCTAGATCTAGACAGACAGAGACATAAATCATTGATTTAGATCTAGTTCCGAGGCTAGCCTAGATCTAATCTAGATCTAGATCTAGATCTAAATGACGATTGCAGATGTCTTTTCGATGAACGATCGTTTTTCCTCCGTTTCGGAGTTGGCGGAATCACAATTTGAAGAAAAGAACATGTCGTTATAATTTCAATCGAGCAGTCACCCTCTATTATATTTCTCTACCTCTCTCTCTCTCTCTGTGTATCACTCGCCTTCTCTTTTGCTTTGTTTGTCTCTGTCTTTCTTTCTCCCCACCTATTTCCTTTCTATCTTTCTTTCGTTCCCTCCTGCCAACTGGGGCATGTCATACATTTTGCTAGCACCTTTGTCTCTCTCTCTCTCTCACTCACTCACACACACACACTAGATCTACAATAGTCTACATGTACCGGGTCTGAGCGTGAAACTTTCCGAAATCACAAAAGAGTTCCCCTACCGGGTCTGTATACTTTGTGACTTTGTTCCCGGTTACCGGGTCTGTAGACACTTCGGAATGGAAAAACCATGATCGCCGATGTCTGTCGCAGATCTGGCACCGGATGATGACTGAATGCGAAGTTTTATATGATTATAAATTTATATGATTAGGTACTGTTAATGCAAGGAAACAGTTTATACAGAGTCAGAACTCAGTGTCAGCACTTCAGTAACATGCAAAGGGTGTAAACCAAGCGGTTTCTAGGCTAAACTTAAAATTCTTCAACTCTTGCACTCTGCTGCGATTTGCGTGAGAGTAGTGACTTAAGTCTAAGTGACCTGTGACCTGTACTACAGAGGGGGGTACGTACTTGTCGAGCTCGCTGGCACGAACTGAAACTCTGCCTGAGAAGGCATATAAGAACCTGGGCTTTGGCCACTACCACTGTAAAATTGAGGAGAAGGGGCCGAATCACCAACGGTTCGTGGGGCTTGGACCGGGGTTCCACTCAAGTCGACAGAAATATCCGCCGACTTGGACGTTGTGTACGTAGCCATGTCGGCCATTTTTAACTCGTCTGACGGACGAAGTCCGTGTGTTTGATAGTTTCGAAAGCGAAAGGTCCATTCCAAACTTATATTAAATGAAGTCAGTTAATAATATAGATCAAGTTATTATTGTTGGAGATAATGAGCTGTTTGCAATCATTTATACTAATTTTCAGCTTTGCAGCATGTACATTGTACCATATTAGAAACATACGAGACTAGGTCTTGTTTAGCTCTAGTAGAGGTTAAAAAATAGTAACAAAAGCAGTAAACAACCCAAATTGTGAATCGTAAACACAGTGGTGTTAAATGTTGATGTTAAATGGTCTTGATCTCTATCAAATACACTGGATCTATATAAAGGTCTGAACCAACGCCAGAATGTTTAAATAATTCAATTTGCTACTTTAAAATATGTTTTTTAGTTTTAGTTTTAAACTGCATAATATATTTTTTTCGTAAATATAATTGGCCTATTCTTAATTTTGTCATGGACAAAAATAAAAACAATTCTGAGGAACTCTTTTGTATGCGGAACAAACAAAATCACAGTTATTGTTTATCTTTTTTGCGTCTGTTTTGCTCCTTTCACAGGGCTCAATATTCAGAAAAAAATCAGCTATGGACTGCTGGTAAATTGTAGCTGATTGCTGGACTGCGACAGGTAGAAAGAAATCTTATCTCTGTGTCTGTTCCAACCATCATGCCCACTGCACCTGTGTCACTATGATAAACACTGCCCTGACTTGACAAGGCTACTTGGCCTCTATCTAATCTAGAATCTAGATATAATATCTAGATCTAGATTAGATCTAGATATAGATCTATATCTAGATTCTAAATCTATATCTAGATTAGATCTAATCTAGATCTAGAGATCTAGATCTACATCTAGATCTAGAATCTAGATCTAGATCTAGATTCTAGATCTAGATCTAGATTCTTAGGACTAGATCTAGATCTAGATCTAGATCTAGATAGATCTAGATTCTAGATCTATCTAGAGTAGAGTAGAGTCTCTAGAGATCTAGAAATCTAGTAGATATCTAGATCTAGTAGGCTAGGCTTAGCAAGGGCCGAATTCAGTAGTCATGCCCCATTCATGGAGTAGTCACAAATCTAGATCTAGATCTAGATCTAGTTAAAGCCTTTGTAAAGGCCTGCTGACACTGCCACTGGCCCGCCACTGGCGGATCTAAATCTAGGCCTACCTGGTACAAGAGACTGCTAGAGTCTAGGTCAAGTACTGGCAACTCTCCAGGCGACTGGTACGCTATTGCTACAGTAGTCTCCGCCTAAGATCCCACCGCTTAGGGTCCCGGTTCGCTTTAAAAGATCCCGCTGTTTTAAGAAAACATAATTTTTACTATACAAAAGTCACCCCTAAGATCCCGCTCTGATTCTCTCTGAAGGTCACATTCGGCTGAAGATCCCGCATTTCAGATCATAATTTGCGGAACAAAAACCCGGGCAGGACAGCCGATCAAACAAGAGTGAAAAGTTGAGATCATTATATTAAACTGTCCGTCGCGTCAAAGATCAGCCACTATCGTGAATGTGATCACATACACGTTGTAAAACTCGATGGAGCGATACAATGTTTGCCCCAGATCGGATCAGACCGGGGTGTGAACTGACCGACACCTTTGTTTTCCCCACGCATCGCACTCACACCTGAGCTCTCCCCCTAAACTTACATCACTCGGTGGGTGGGTAGGGCTTACACATTCGCTCCAGGCGGGATCACATTGAACTGTGAACTCTTCCCTGACCATTGCAGAAGTTGTCTCTCTACTCCCGAATTTGCGAGACAGACTGAATTTTAATTGGTGTGTTCACAACGTAATGGCGTGTAACGACAAAGGCAGTTTGGGGGGGGAGGGGGGAGGGCTCGGTCAGAGATGGAAAGCTATAAATTTTTGACAGGTAAGGGGGAGGGGCAACTTGATACGTGTAGATCTTGAGACTCATGATAGGATAAAAAGTGAAAATGGCACGCCTCTTCCCACTATGCACTGTTATAGTTCACCAAGGTTAACCTCTCTTTGCTCGCCATACGTCATAAACCCACCAAACGGTCATGTCAGTTCATTTTAGAGTGGAGGGAGACCTTTGTACCTATTGTGAGCCTTAGCATAGGTCACCGTAGATTCTTCCTTGGGTTCGTCGGATTAGATCCCGGTTCTCCTAAGATCCTGCATTTCCTTCTTCCCAAGCACCGGGATCTTAGGCGGAGACTACTGTATTATTCTAGGCCGAAAGATCTTGGAAAAGGTTATTCTCACCAGGGTTGAGAATAGCCTCTATGGCCCTTTGTCTCGCTATTCTCACCCCCTCAGGTGTGCTAACATACAGTAGGCCTATTATATTCTATAGCACAGACACACACAGAACAGCACAGAGAACTAATTTATAACTTGTAGAATTCTAAATAAGTTTCAGGTTGAGGCTACGTTCATGGCACTAAAGCTTCGTTTATGGTGAGCGTCCACTGCCGGTTTGAGTGTACCTGCCAGTTTTAGTCAGTGACATTGATGTATATTTAATATTTTTGCCTGCTTCGAACTTTCCGTCCCATGAGATGAAGGAAAACAAAGCAGTGATCCTTGACCGATCAACCATTCGTCGTTTTCCCTTACACTGAGCTCTGGCTCAGAGCTCGCCTGTGTAAGGAAAGACGACAAACTCTCAATTACACAACAACGCATTAATTAGGACATTATTTATATGACAAAAAAGGAATAGAGGCTACGCCTACCAAGATGTTTCAATTGCCCTATCCTGCGTCCGGGCGAGACTTGGGCGCGACCATGTGTTAGCACGTGACGGCCCGTGATACGAGTGTAAATAAACGTTCCACCACTCTTGAGTTAAAAGTGTGCAATTTTGTCTGCGGGCAGTGTGTGTGTGTGTGTGTTTGTGAGGGAGAGAGAGGGGGAAAGAGAGAGAGAAGGTGGGGGGGGAAGAGAAAGATAGAAGGAGAGAAAGAGGGAGGGAGAAACAGACAGACAATGACAGAAAAATAGAGAGAGAAGGCGGTGGGGGGGGGGGGGGGGGCTCGAAAGAGAGAAGGAAAGAAAAAGGGGAGAGAGAGATACTGATAGACAAAAAGAGAGAGAGGATGATTGTTATTATAATAAGAATAATTGATTCCTGTCATTTTCTCTCTGGGTCGGTTCCCAGGCTGACCCGGTACAATACAGTCATTATGTACATATTCTTTGACCAGTCCCATCTTCCGAATCCCACCTTCTGTTTCCCATCTCTCATCTCTTGTTTCCCATGTTACCGTGTATCCAATTTTCCATATATATCCCATCCCGACTTTAATTCTGTAAGGGTGCTTTGTTTTCTTTCATCTCATGGGATGGAACACTTTAAGCAGGCCAAAATATTAAATATATATGTCACTGACTAAAACTGGCTTACTTAAACCGGCTGTGGATGCTCCCCCTTAATGAAAATTTAGTGCCGTGAACATACCCACTGTGTTAGTTTATTCAAATGGCTGGGTGAAGGCCATTTCACACCATGAAGAGCAAACAACGCTGAAAAAAAAAAACCACACGCTAAAAAACCTGATGTGGATCGAGATATTAGATCTAGACTAGAAATCTAGTCTAGGTCTATGGTTACGCAAGGATGAAACGTCAAGAGCAGTACGCAGCTGATACCTATGGGTCCTCACAATTCCAGATCTAGATCTAGCATAATTTTAAGGGCGCTTTTTCGGTAGTTCCCACCCCACTTATTTGGGCCTAGATTTTTCAATCTTGTTTTGAGAACTTTAAGAAGTGCAAAGAATGTGTTCATAATTTTACTCTCATGGTGAGTCCTTTATCTGTCTCACGTTCCGATATTCCTAAAGCACTTTTCTTATTAATTTTTGTCTGCTTTACAAGAATTTTGACTTTTTATCCACTGCAAATTATTAGTTTGTATGAGACGTATGGATATTTTTATGAACACTTTATTACTATAGGACCAATTGCTTAAAGTAGGCCTAATAATATTTCTCTTGTATTTAACATGGGGGCATGCCCCCCCCCCCCCCCCCCCCCAAAAAACAGGGGGGGGGGGGGGGGGGCATGAACAACATTACATTCTTTGGTTTGTGCTGAAAAAAAGATAGCTGTACAGTTGAACAAGGGTAGATGTTTGCTGATGTTAGAAGTGCTTTGCACCTTAAGTCCAGAACTTTCAACGCATACAAAATTTTAGGACAGTGGCCAATACGCGTGCAGGAGAGACTGCCAGGGCTGGAAGAAATGATAAGTCGATGATCTGACAGGTGGTTTTGGGGAAATGTTGAAATTTCGTTACACTGGACGATTTGGTTACTGCAACTACTGCTATCCTGACGGATGTTGAATGTTTTGTGTCAAAACAAGGTAAGGTTACCACCATGTGCCGGGATTCGACTGGTCCTTGTCCTCTCTGTCCACCTCATATCCTTATTTCAAGCTGAATTCAGCTCACTTTTGCTCTTTTCCATTCACCATATGCCATACACCAGAATGGGTAAATTAAAGTATAGAAGATAGAATAGAAAACATTCAGGACAAAAGAAGTGTTCAAGAAAATAGAGACTTGAAAGTGATTCAGGGAATGAGAAGGGGGGGGGGGTTGAAAGACTAAAAAGAAGGAGACAGTCTTGAGGGGAAGAGGTTAGAGAGAGGTGAAAGTGGGAGAATCCAGTTGAGGGGGAGAGAGTAAGTAGTGGAGAAGGCAGAATTTAAGAAAAAAAAGGATAAAAATAAAAGAGATGTGAAAATTATTTGAATAAGACAACAGTGAATAATAATAAGTGTGCAGATGAAAAGGAATTATAAGCAGAAGAAATATGATGCTAGTGAGAATGTAAACCTTTGCTCTTTCCAAGAACAGGGCTTAAAAGTAAAATACTATTTCATTATCTAGCCCACCGTCTTCTCAAGGACCAGAGGGAAATAGTTGGTTGCGCTTCTTTCAAGTGCCAAAAATACTTTGTAGTACAGTATGTTACAATGATTTAAAATATAATTCTTAGTCTTACTCTGTCAACATAAAGTACATGAACGTTCATGTTTTTTGCTCTCTTCAGAAATGATTTGTAGTGGACTTCTTTTCTTTCCAGAATGGATGACATCATCAAGCAGGATGATTACCGGGAACTTCAGACTCAACTTGCCTTACACAAGGATGGCTCCACACAGTGGAATAACCTAGAGTCATTGATGTTTTCTTGTTGTGGTCATGGAGCAGCAAATTGTGTGGCAATCTTGTTGGAACTGGGAGTTGATAAAGGTAGGCCTACAAGAGTGGACGGAGCTAGCTGTCACAGTTTAACTTTTTATCTCCATGGCCGGTAAACCCACATATTTGGTATGAAATCTAAAATTGACACAAATGTCACTAAACTACTCATTAAATCAAAACAAGTGAACTTATTTTGATAGCTTTTCTTCTAATGAATGATCTCTCTGTAAAAGAGATTTGTTTTCGACAGTTGCCAAAATGTAAATTGATGTCGGAAGTCATCATGAAGGAATGTGCCCGAGCTGCTGCCAATGGCTCACGAGCATAACAGTTCTGACTGCACTTGCCGTAGATAAAGAGTTAGAAAATCACAAGTTTTTTTTTCCTTTGATAAATGAAAGTAGAATTTGCTTCAGTGATGAACAGAGGTAAGGCTTTCTCTTTAGATTATATTTTAAATTACTAATTTAGGGAAAGTTTTGATTATTCCACAGTGTTGGGGTTAATTCCTGAGCTTTGAATGTGTGTCAGTTCACCAATTTCACCATGTAACAGGGGCATTTGCAATTATTTGATTTTTTAAAATGTACTTCTTGTCTCATAAAATGTCTGTATTTCATGAAGTGGCTACAGTTTGTTATAATGTATTCTAAAATTTAAACTTGGGGTGTTATTGCTTGATTGAAGATGGTCAGTCGTGATCGTTCATTGTCTTTCAGACTGTATGGATGAGCAGAGGATGACTCCACTGATGCATGCAGTCAAGAGTGGGTCAGTGGAAGTTGCAAAGCTGCTTATCACCTGGGGCTGTCAGATCAACGCTCTTGGTGGGGTCGAAGGTCATTCAGCATTGCACCTAGCAGCAGTGAATGGTAACTCTTTAATGTTATACAATTTTGCATTTGTGTCATATGTGACTTAATCGAACAAAAGATGCAAATAACATTTTACTTTTGTTTACAGGCTTGTGACATGGAGCTAGGCTTGGTATATATTTTTTAAATGGTAAAGGTCTTTTTCAGAACTTATGTCACCTACCACACTCATCCGGAGTCTCTATTTTCTGTGTGCTGCCAGTGTAGGGGAGCTGTGACATTATGTGCAAAAGGCATCAACTTATTTTTATTGTTTGTTTGTTGATTTTTTTTTTTTGAGGGGGTGGGGGGTTGGGAGGGGAGGCTGGGACTGACATATACTTTTACCATTTTTTATCACCGCTGTTTCTTTATTGTGTTTCTGTTGGATTGTTAGGAATAGTTCTGGTACTTAAAAATTGTTGAGCAAGATTCCTTAGCCTTCTTTTCTAAAGACTTATGTGTTTTCGAAATGATATGATCGTCATGTTAGTGAAACTATCTGTAAGTTTTTCCCAAAATCTCTTATTAGCATTTCTTTTTGTTGTCAATTACAAACTGCAACAGATACATATGTTCAGATTTTCTTAACCATTTATTTTTTTTATGTGTGATGGTCATAATAAGGCTAGAATAAATCATGTTAAATTTTGAGATGCCCTACTTTAAAGTCACGAAATATAACGACTGAGATCTTTCCTGAGTTCTATAGGGGGGAAACAGAGTAGATGATTCTGGGTCTTCTACATGACAGAATGCTACTTTTTATCAGTCTCAGGTTTTCCTCACATGAGATGCCAATTCCCAGTTCACTTCTGGATGAAGTGAAGAGAAAAATTGGGAAGTGTTTGTTTCCTTACGTACATAATAAGACTTATTGTGGACAGCTGATGTTGAAGCTACTACTGTTTCATCTTTTGTAAAGCATCATGACCTTCTATTAATGTTTCTTTGTACTGTGTAGGAAGAGTGATTTTAAAAAAGGAACAAAGCTGTACTGATGATGTTAATAATGTCAGATATTGTTGGGTTCAGGTTTACGTTTTTCTCAAACATGTGCTTTTATGTCCTTTTTTTGTCAGCCCCTGCAAGAAGGCAGTGGTTTTGGAACTTGTTTAACATGGGGCAGCTCAAACAAGTTTTGTCAGATATATCACAGTCTACCTTTAAATGTGTCTTCACAACCCTATATCTTTTCTTTGCTTACAAAGTTCTTTGTTTACAAAGTAACCCCTCCCCCTCCCCTCCCCCTTTCAAAATGATAGTATGTATATGTGTATTGTGGAGTATTGAACTTTGACCACTATAAAAACAAAACAAATGTTCACATTTCTCTCTTGTTAGGATATCTAGAGCTTTGTGAGATGTTGGTCCAGGCTGGAGCAAATGTCAATGTGAAAAATGAGAAGGAAGATACCCCGTTGATTGTTGCCTCAGTCTTTGGCCATCTGCCGGTTGTGAAGCATCTCTTAAACTGCCATGCCTCTATCAACTGCAGGGGTTATCATGAGTGTTCTGCCCTTCATGAGGCCACAGAGCATGGTCATTATGAGCTCTGCTCTTATCTGATTGCCGCCAAAGGTTGGTTCGTAGTGTTTTGTATCTTTTTAGTCATTAGATATGCAAACCTGTGTATGCATAAAGCGACTGGTATGATTTACAGACCTGCAAAGTACTTTGATAAAATCGGAGCTCTCCGGTAATGTTTTTTGCTAATCAAAGAACCCTGATTAATTTGCATAAAATGTGATTCTTTTCTTGAATTCTATTCCCATCAGGTCATAGATAGTACACAATTTTATTTTTTGTTTACTTGCGATATTTGTCGCACTTTCCAAAAGTGATGTGAAAATACACATTTTTGTTTGCTATAAATTTGTTCAACTTATCGTAAATTATGGGAAAATACACAATTTTACAAGTGTTTATTTGCCACGGTCAGTTTGTTACAAAACCTTAATAACTGGGGTACTGGACAGTCTGATTTATTTTAGTGGTGGAGTGGCTGGCAGATCTGTAAATGGCTACATACGACATCATTATGGGTGTTAAAGTGTAGGCAATGAAGACTCAGGCTATTGTCTGTTGTACATGAATAGTGCTTATTAAGGCAGTGGTGACTTTTCCATGAAAAGCTTCTCTAGTCAGTCTTGATGAGCTAAAATTGGTATTATGTAAAATATACAATATTGATAAATACATTGTCTAAACAAGTTTTTTTCCCCTCTATGACATCACTTTCTTGGTATGACATGCAGAAAAGCTTGTGTAATAATAGCCTTGGAATATTGTACAGAAAAACAAAGGGAAATTAGTTTTCATTTAACAAAATCTCTTGTAAATTAAATATAACACTTTCAGTCTGGTTTGTAAGGATGTAATAGTTTTATGAAGTTTCTCTGTACAATTGAATCCATATCCAGCTGGCTTGGAGGATGAAGACACATTTGGAAACACGCCTTTGATCTGTGCTGCGGAGAAAGGACACGTGAATCTTGTGTTGCTATACCTGGCTCAAGGGGCAGACGTGAACCGAGTGAGCCACAGTGGAACGACAGCTCTGCATTATGCTGCGAAAGAAGGCTGGACGTCATGTTGCAAGGCAAGCAATGAACTCAATGCTTTGTTAATTTTTTTTTCTTTTTTGCCTTTGCATGTTTTCTAGAAAGCTGTATAATTTTTCACCATTTCCTTATCCCTTAGTTGAATGTGTGAAAGGTTATGCGGTCTAAAGGTACTGTGCTGGCCTTCCTTACTACAGTAACAGGATTCAGTTCTAAGTGATAATTACATGTAAAAACTTGATTTTTTTGGTTTTGTTTCCAGCCACCCTTGTCCTATCATTGGCAGGATATGGCATCTCTGGTCTTCTTGGATTTGGAAAAAAATCTATGAAAATCTTTTGTGCTTGTTGTGGTGCATGAAAGAGTATTAAGAAGTTGCTGGTCAAAAAATTCAAAAGTCCCTGTGTCCTTAACATGTAGTTACATAATTTTAATTTGACTGATAAGGACTTCTATAAATATGTTTACAACATGACAGGATTCTGCCTCTTAACTAAGCGAAAAAAAACCTCAGAGACTAGTCAGGCAGGGATAACCTGATTTCCAGTTGCTCATCACAGAATTGGCATATTGTATCATCACTTCCATCATTTATACCAGTCTTCTTCTTCGTGCAGGTTCTGCTACACCATGGTGCAGAAATTGATGCTCAAGACATCCGCCGTTTTACTCCTTTGATGATGGCAGCGCTGGAAGGACATGAGAACGTATTGAAGCTGATGCTGGATGCCAAATGCAATGTCAACATGGCTGCCTACAACCGACGCACAGCCCTGCACTATGCGGCTGAACGAGGCTATAGCTCTTGCTGTCGGCTTCTCATTCACTCAGGTGCATGGGTGGAGGGTCTGGATGCTGACCTTTGCTCCCCTGTGATGTTGGCAGCTTGGAAAGGCAATGTTGAGGTGAGGAAGCAGTGAAGAGGGCCTGCGTAGATAACATCTTAAAAATGAAAGCAAATCAGAGACATTTATTGAGCAAGCTTAAGTTCTTCAAAGTGAGTAAGCTCATTCTGATTGTTATAAATGTAAATGTTGATTTAATTTCGCAAGTCATACAAGGCTGTGATGGTTTGTACCTTCTTTTTTTATATTTATTTGTATTATTGAGTTTTACCTTTCCTCAAGATGTCTGACTTCTCCCTCCAATGTTGATCTATAGCTTTTTACATATTTCACCAATTGATTGTAAATGCCAAAGCATTAGCGGGTGGTTGGAGGGTGCCATTGGTAGGTCCTACTTCTTTACTTTCAATCTGTTGTTTCTGTCTGTCTTACTTTTTCCTGGCATAAAATGACCTTCATTGTTTCGATGTGATTCTTTTTATTCGAACAAACAGAACAAACAAACAAGCCTGTCATTTTCTCTCCTACAGACAACTCGTCTCCTCCTGGACTATGGCTCAACATTGAACCGATGGTCCCGACTAGGCCTGTCCATCCTGCATCTTGCTGCAGAGAGCGGGAGCACTGAATGTTGTGAATTGTTGCTTGAGCAAGGCATGGACATCAACATACGTGGCTGTGAGAACATCATGCCCGTGATCAGTGCCATCAGGTGCCACCGCATGTCCGCCATCAGATTCTTTATCTCTAAAGGTTGCGCTATGGGCAAAAAAACAGAAGATACTCATACTGTTCTGAATGAGGCAATCTTCAGGGATATTGATTTTGATGTCATAGAGAAAATGTTAGCTCGTGGGGCAAGTCCGAACACTGTTGATGCAAACTCTACTCTACCTTTGTGGCATGCTGTTGACAGCTGTAATTTTCCAGTGATAAAGCTGCTTTTGCAGTGTAATAGCGAGTACTCAGTGAAGACTCAGTCTGTTCTGGTTCCATGCAGCCCATGCTCTCCCATCAGTCATGCGATACACAGAGAAAACCCAACACTCATCCAGTGGCTTGTTGCAGCGTACAGTGAAGATGTTGCTCGTTTACTTCGTGGTACTGAGTGCCAGTACTCATCTCCTTCTGGAAGCTCCCATCTCCTCAGCCTGGTAAGGGACCTCGTGAAACAGCCGCAGAGCCTATTGCGGCAGTGTCGGAGGGCGATTCGGAAGCAACTGGGCTGTGGTTATGTGGTCAATCAGAAAGTCTGCAAACTGAAGCTTCCAACTCTCCTTCACAACTACATGTTGTTCAGTGACCTGGACCCACCATCCGATTTAGATGTGTCATGACTTTTTAACCAATTTCCTAATAGTCTTGTTGCCTTTAAATGCATACTTGTATTTTCATTGGCTATTCTGAAAGTGTCAATCAAATAACATAAGACGTTTGAGTCACTGTTGATCTTTAAAAGCAGCTTCATGAATAACTGAGCTACTGAGTTTACTTGGGTTACCTTGGATGCTCATAATATATCCTTATAAACCTTTTAGCTTTGGTTGGACTGCTTATTTGAATGGAGTCTGACTTGCCCAGACAATATCACAAACTTACATGCACACAGACACACACACATGTCATGAGAATGAGTCTTGTTCTAGCTGGTTGAGCAAACGTGAGCCAGAGAAGTAATCTAAATCTGTCAATCTTTGCCACACGGTGCACTCTATTTTCAAAGTCGAAACTTAAATCTTTGAGTTTAAAGAAATTGACCTATATCTGTAGGGTGAATGAGCCTGCCCAAACAAATCGTGTTGTCTAAAAAAATACAAGACAGAGTTATGAACAACTTGGATGCAGAATGCATTTGAAAGGAGACACTTGAAATATTTGTGTTCTCATTCGTTTGATCATAGTTTTTAAATATGTAAAAAGAATTGTAACAGCTAACACTTGCTTTTTACAAGTAATTGTTGCTTTCAGTACCAGCATCATTTTTGCTGGTGGTTAGAGGGCACCACTGGTAGGTCCTACTTTTTTTTACTTTCCCTCTGTTTTTTCTGTCTGTCTTACTTTTTTTCCAGCACTAAATGACCATTATTGTGTCAATGTGCTTCCCATTACTTAAACAAAAAAGTGATGCTTTTTTTGTGGCTGTTTTGATCTGTTATCTTGTGTTCCAAGTCAATGACTGTTGTTGATTCTGCAATCATCCTTCAAATTGCACTTAAGTATATCCTCCTGAGTGATATATATATAATGATGATCTATTCCTTTAATGTGTGTCTAGAGTTGTCCTTTAGATAACAATGACATAATAAGCTGCCAATTCAACTGCTCAGGTCCCTAGTCAGGGCTGTAGTAGAAAATGTGGTTCTTAAGAATCTCAGATCTGAATATAATACATTCATATCCATGTGTTTGAAAAGTTCATTTGCAAAAACAAAATGTAGGTATAATGATTATTCTTGTTTTGGAGTAAATGTGAAGATCAATGTTAAAAGAAAAGTGATAAATGACTATGATACAGTTCATTCATATAACATTAACAAACATCCCTTTGTTATTGCTTGTGCTTTGCAATATCCCAGCATCCCTTTGTTAAAATATTGCTGGTGCCTTGCAATACTCACATATTAGAATTTTTGACTAGCAAAGTTTCTTTTTTTGCATAGAGTGATATATTATTTTTTTTGAAAACAAAATTTACTTCCCACCAGTAGGCTTATCTAAGTTTATTGTATGAGGCCCAAGTGACTAAATAGTTTATCCATTATATTGTTCTGTACATGTGTGCTTAATCTGGATTTGGGATTAAAGATATTTCAAAGACTATTATCTCCATCTTGGACTTAAAAATGTCTCTTGTTGATTCAAAACTTTTTTTTTTCCGTTTTCCACACCCAGTTGAATATATTAGTTTTTCTTTTGCCAAGAGTTGGCTTTTCTGCTTTATTTTTGCTCTCTGCTGCATGTCAGATTCTGATTCTTAATCTTAATAGATCTAGTCCTGTTTGGCCACAGCTAAAGGTACGAAATTCTGAGAGATGTCTATTATGACTGACTATTTGTTGCAGAAATTTTGTTTTCCTTTTTCAATTTTCTTCTTTTTTTATGTGGTCGAATTCAAGAGGCAAAATACGCATGGTCATGTTCTGTGCCTGTTTTGAGCTCAGTAGTAGAGGAGTTGAGTCTCTTTTACCATTTTACCCATGCTCTTTATTTTGGTTCCCTCTTCCTGTTTTCTTCTTTATAAAATGGCTCTTGCTGGACTGCAGTATGAGTGAATGACCTTGGTTCGATCTTGTGTTTTGTGTTTTCTCTTACTTTTTTAGTTTTCACAGCTCTCTGCCTTAGTTGGGCTACTTGTGTTATAATAAATATGTGCTCACAAGGCCTTTTCTATTTCATTTATTTTGTCCCTCTTATCATAAAATTTTTGTTCCTCTGCTTACATTACCTAAGTTTCGTTCCTTCTTTTTGAGTACAACTCTAAAATGAAAAAATTTGAAAAAAATTCAGAAGCGAATTTGGTATCATTAAAAAAAAATATTTTTAATTCACTTGTATACACTACTCTGCAAAAACTGTAGAGAAAGTCTGCGCTTTTCCAAACATTGTTCAGTCATTTGCGTTGACCATATGACCAGCCTTGTTGTGCCCACAAAGGGCTACATAACTGAAATCAGTCATCATTTACTATTTTATGTACTGACTCGATTCTGGAAGCATGGGGTCTCTTTTGCTGCTTGGTTCGTAACAGTTAACTAATGATCGTAATAATAATTGTAATAATTTAATACAAATAATTTTTGCAATTATATAGTGCATATCCAGGCTATAGTGTGCTCTAGGCTTTTTACAATCATTAGTCTCTTTTGCTGCTTGGTTCGTAACAGTTAACTAATGATCGTAATAATAATTGTAATAATTTAATACAAATAATTTTTGCAATTATATAGTGCATATCCAGGCTATAGTGTGCTCTAGGCTTTTTACAATCATTAGATTATTTTTGTTTTGTAACATAGATAAGACTCTGGAGTGTTGCCCTCAGAGAACAGTTAGCCCCCCCCCCCCCACCCCCCCAACTGGGCAGTGCCACTGACTGAAGTGTCTTTAGGACTTGATTCCCAAAGGGGAGGGGAGGAGGATGTTAACATATTCTTATGCTTAATAGAATTGTAAATGGGCTGATTTATCAATGTCATGCTCATACTGTGCTGGAACAACATGGAGGAACTGCTGCTTTTTCTTTCCTCATCCTTACTATCGTCATTTTGCCTCTACTTCATTTGTATGTTTGTCACTCTCTTGTGAACTGCTATTTCCGGGGTGCCTTCATAGTCGAAGCAGACTTTGTGCTGCTGAGGCTAGAGAGGTGAGCAGAGTAAGCCTGATTCCACCTTTGGACTTCTCTGTTGACATCCGCCCCTTGGCGCTCATATGACCTTATGCAGTTGTGAGCGATGTAAAACTTATGAAAACAATGAGAACAGTTCAGATAGTTTTTTGATACTCATCACTGGTGATATATGTGGCAATGAGATGTCTGCTCCTCTGATGATTTGTAGAATCTCATGGTGTCTGGAATGGCTGTGATAGTGATAGGCACCAAAATATTTTAAGTGATATTGTTTATGGGGTGTAGAACGCTTACAATTACAGTTTACAATGACTTTGTTTAAATTGTGCAGTGCATATTTGTACTTGTCATTAATAATCTTTTCATTAAAATTGGCTGGTGCTCTTGACTTCTCTTCTTCAAATGTTGATTTTTTTATACAGTGTTCATTTGTTACTTTACTTCATTTAATGTCTTTAGCCCGCTGGTTCACTTATGGTGGAAACAGTTTTGGCAGATTTTACATATATGTTTTCTTCTTTCAGTTTACATGTTCTTGAAAATGTTGAAAACCTGCCCTCCCGAAAGGGTTCTAAGTTATCTAGACGTCAAGGAAAACTATGGGTTCTGAATATCAGTTGTGGCAATGTTAGAGAATGTTGCAATTATTGGTAATTAATTACTAGGCACAGTAGAACTGTTGGGTCCTAGATCAAGTCAGAGTCAAAATTATTGCTGATTATCTGGGAAATGCCTGGTTTAGCAGGGAAATGTCTGTGACAGGATGCATGATTCTTTTCGCTTTGCATGAGGAATATGCTCACAGTTCAATCTTATAGTCAAAATGTCCTGTGATGTTTTTCATCAGAGGAATTCCTTTGTGAATTGTTCTCTTTAATCTTCAGTAGAATATGATGTCAAATAGTTTAGTGGCGTGACTTTTGACTCCAATGGAACGATAAAGTCCACTTTCCATAGTGGGCATTATTTAACTCCTCAAGAACCTGTGAGTTATTTCTTTTGTAGAAGCTAAACATGCGTCGCCCTTCCTGCAGTCTCATACTAAGCAAAACTAAAACAGATCACAGAGAAAGGGAATTCTCTTGTCCTGTTCCTTGACGAGTGAAGCCAAAATAACTGGAAAATACTTTTTTTCCTTTTTAGATACAATTCCATGTTTTGAAGTCATGATTGCTGTTTTCATGCTTATGTTCTTTATTTAATGCTATTGTTGTTAAACAAAATTATGGTAAATATGACAGACCTCAATCATACAATATTACAGGACGAATTTTATATCAGTTGAAATGAGAACACTGAAGAAACATACACTGAATTCTACTAAATCTCCCAATGATGATTTAGTTTTGTAACTCTTCATCGCAGCTATCACTTTTACTTAATGAGAAGAAAAGGGTGGTCCTGCGAGCAGTTTGAAGAACCAAAATAACATTAAGTACTGATTTCTTGAAAACCATTATGAATTTGTTTTATGATGATCCTGCTTTTGTTTTATTTTGTTTGTCAATGTATTTTCTTGGTAATTTAGAAAGTTTACGGAATTCTCTTTTTACGTACTTTTATGTATGTTTCTTTGCATTGCTTTTGAATGACTTGTGATTTTAATTGTATTGCTGGTAAGTATAAAAAAGTTATAGTTCAGGAGATTCTAGTCTGAGATCACTGCTTTCCTAAGATCTGAATGTGTTTTTCATGATGTTCATTGCATCTGAGCAGATTATTACCTGAAGGCATTTCGTTTCTGTGATATTTTTAATTTTTTTTTTTTCTTTAAATCTTTTTTGAAAAAAAAGTAGTATTCATGGGTGCTATATCTGTCACTCATGTGTGTGACAGTAATGTTGCTTTTAAGTGATAAATTTTGTTTGTTTTTTTAATTAAAGTTCATGAAACATCAAGTGTCTGTGTTGTCTTGCCCTGATACATGTTTTTATATATCAACTTCCATATATATATATATATATATTGATGTGGGTTAGATGTTACTTATTTGCTTTGTAAGAATGTTTGGCTTTTGGTCATCTGTGGTCACAACATGAATGTTGGCTCACAGAGCTTCTCCTGTTGATGGGGTTGGCCGTGTTTCTGTAATTGTGCAAGATTAAATTGTAGGTGCATGTGATGTTTGAGTCTAGTGTTCTTGGTCTGAAGATAATCACTTGTTCTTGGCAGGCTAGCGCATGGTAGTTATCTAGTATGAATACTGTAATGTTACCCTGAATATGCTCTTGTTTTGTTAGTAAAATAGCGCATAATATTGTTCCTTTCAGCGTTTTGTACAGCTGTGTCTGAATGTTGCATTTTGGCTGGTGCAGAGACAATTATTTTTATACCAGGTTCAAGTCTGCTTGGGCACATGTTCCTGGCTGGATCTGTACTTACTGGACTTAATATCTTATCACCAATTACTTGTCATACACCAGCTTTGAGATATTCTTTTATCTATTTTCCTTACTTTTGTTTTTTTATGTTCTTGTCATTCTTTTTTATTAGTTATTAAAATTTTCTTTTTTTTCTGCTATCTTATGAATAAGACAGGTAGTTGTGACTTGAGGTTGTATTACAATGTTGGTTAAAGATGTGAAGGTTTTTTTTTACAGCATTTGCAACTTTTCCAGTCATAGTCCATTGTTCCTCTGTAACTTGTCATTGTGTTCTTTTTGGAGAAAAAAAAATGAAATAATAGGATTTGGTATTCTTTGTCTCATACACATATTGTGTTATATATTTATCTGGGTTCCAATGCAGTTGTGTCCCTTGTAACATTTCACTAATGATGAATTTGCAGACTTCTTTTAAAATTGCTAATAATCACGAAATCAAGTAGCGCTCTGAGAAAACGGTATGTATAGTATATCCTTCTCCTGCCTCTGTGAATTTAGTCTGCTTTTTTCCTCAGTGTTGTAGTGTATGTCCCTGACTGGATCTATGTATCTGCATCTACTTGCCTCAGCTCAAACAATGTAACAGTCTGTGATTCTTTCTGAAGCAGTAGATGTCAGTATGTGTTGTTCGCGTAGAATGTCATTTTGCAGTAGATCTATATGTAGTTTTATGATTTTATTGGCTAAGCAGTCTTTCAGCTTCGTGTCTACCCAGATAGTGAGTGGCCAGTCTGGGGGATAAGGATTCTTTGGTTGTTGTTTATTTCAAAGATGCCTATTCTAGTATTATTAGATTCCATTATGATTTATTGTTGTCTTATATGATTTATTTTCTTCTTGGCGAAGAAAAGAATGAGTGTTGGTTAACATTTTTTAGTAATTCACTATGTTATCTCCTTTTTTTTTCTCCCTTCCAACAGAAGGGTCAGTCGTATAACTAAGTGACAATGGAAAGAAAATTTGGTTCAAGTGCATTGTACTCACAGCCTCCAAGAAATATGTATTTATTCTGTAGGTATTTGTATTGATAGAATGGGTGTACTCTTGAGGAATCACTTTCGCAGCTCAAAATATCCATATATGAATATAAAGTGAGGATTGAAATAAATTAGTTGTAGGCCTACAATGTGTATAGTAGCATGTAGACTTCGTTTTGTTCTATTTTTTAAAGTGATAGGGATTTGGGTTTAGCGATGATTCAAACATGTTTTTTCAAGGGTTTTTCGGAAATGAAAGTGAAAAGGCACATAATTCAGAGACTCACCATACGTAATGGCTACCCATAAGAAGTGATCAAAGATTGAAGTTTGAGCTTTTGTTTGATTATTTAGCGCATAAGGGAACAATCCATCTGAAATTCTGTCTGAATTAGTAGCTGCATATGGCTATGGTTTAATTAATTAAAAACAGGCAAATCATTTTTTACGGTGCAATTTGTTCAGAGGAGGGCTTTTAAACTTGGAGGAATCACATTCAGGACTGCCACAAACTTCAATGTAACGACCCAACAAGATGCAGATTGATGCACTTATCTTTGAGGATAGGGTATCAATGTGCATGCCCCAAGAGTGGATTTAAAGTGCGTGATATTGCCTTGACACTGGAGCTCCCACCAACTGCAGAAAAGAAATAAGATTACCCAGTAGGATTATTACAAAGTATTGGATCTATGTGTCTCTTAACAACTGGCAAAAGAATGCCAAATAAAGTTTGTGCAGGCATCCTAGACAAGAATGATGCACTGGTGAAAGTGACAATGCTGTTTGGCCTAATGATGACTTGGTAGAGATGACAGAAACTTTCTAGAATGCATCATGGATGATGAGTCATGGGTTTGTCACATGACACTAAAATCGAGGGACTCAATGACTTTAAAAAATTCATCATCACCTCCAGCCAAAAAATTCAAGGTGCAAATTCAGCATGAAAGTGGATAGCAACAGTGTTCTGGGGCGCTAAAGGAGTTCTGCTAGTAAGTAGACTTTCTACCATGTAGTCGACCTGTTAATTCTGCCTGTTGTTGTGAAGCACTGGAAAATTGATAGAGGGGATCCCATTGATGAGGCCGGGATGATTGAGCGAAAGTGTCATTCTGCAGCATGACAACGCCACCCTGTATACGTCAAACGTGATCAAAGAGAGAATAAAAAATATAAACGAGAGTTTTGCCACATCTACCCCACAGTCCTGATCTGACCTCTTCTGACAGTTAAAACTAGTCTCACAACAATGCGCATTTTCTGTCCTTCGATTAGTCAGTTGAGCTGAGTGATATTATTCTGCATTGTACAGCGCTTAAAGCCTTAAAGGGATTAGGCACTATATAATTTCCCTTATTTATGATCTCTTTGATCCCTCCAAATACACTCGCCAGCAAAAAGTTTGGTGCAGACGAGGAGTTAGTCCAGGAAGTGATAATGCAAAAGGGGCATCAATTCTCTCATTTATCACTGGGAAAAGTCCTCAATTTTGAGGGTGACTACATAGAGAAGTAGCTCTATAGTATGTTTGATGTGAAAGGTTTATTTCAATTAAAATTAAATAGTTGATTCTGTGGCCATTTTCACTTTACTTCCGAACAACTGTCATAGTGTGATAATGCAAACCTGCATTGGTGATGTTAACAAGTTTCTTGTTTTCATTAGAGGATGTGGGAAGATTTATCCATGCCAGTGCCAGTGTCGTTCAAAGTATGGATACAATATTTTTTTGTTTCCAGGCTTTGGATAAGTGCTTCTCTTTTTTTATTATTGAGATTTATTGATTAGCTTTAGTGGGTCGAGAAAACTGACTAAATTTTGTAAGCTTTACTTGTGTAATGAAGGTATAGATTAATATTGCTTCTAAAATTCTGAGGATTTAACTGATCATAAAATCTGAAGGTCCCCTTCAAGTAGATATTTTCAGTCTTGCTTTTTTTGCAGATAAGCATGTTTCCCAAATTTGTAAACACAAACATGGGTGTCTTTCTGTTTTAGCTAATTGTTAATCAGCATTTTGCATTATATTTTGATGTAGTTTTAGTTTTTCTGTTGTAGAGAATGTGACTAAGATATACTTCGAATGAACAGCAATATGGAGTGAAATATTTGAATATTAATGCTCTTTAGGGTTCGGTATGCATCTATGGTGTTGTTTTGTTATAGTAATGTCTTGAAATACAAACTAATGCTTTTATTTTATGTGTATTTGATAACCTCAGATTTTATTTTAATTGTGATATAGATGTGTGCAATAACTTTCTATAAGGCTAAGTATTATTTGATCTTTGCAGTTTTGGAAATTAATATGTTTGTATTGATATTCTTTTTGTCAGTAAGAACTTTCTTCAGAAAATAACCAATAAAAATAAGATTGTGCCATTATAAATGAAGGTAAAGGATTTTATTTCTTTGTGTGTATATGTGTGTGTGTGTGTGTGTGTGCGTGTGGGCATGTGTGCATGCATGCTTGCACGTATGTTCGTATTACAGATACCTTGTCTGTTTTGTCTTGTTTTCTGTAGAAATGGTGCTGTTACGACACTTACTTGTGTCTGTTGCACCGGAGACACGAGTTTAATTCGCACATGGGAGATATTTTATATATAGAGTCTCTTCGTCTGCCTGCTTGGATATTGTTCCCCTCTCAAAGTGCTTAGGCCCTGATGGGCTGGGTTGAAGCAACCCATAACATACTAAATGATATAAAATCGTGTCAATAGGTGCGTAAAACTTCTATAATTACAATATAAGTTTTATAACACTTACTTCATCGGATAAATACATATAAGGACATTAAAGGTTGGTATGCCGATGTCTGTAGTCAAACAGTGAGGCACTTTGATGTCATACGTAGGAAATCCAAGTTTGGGAGAATTTTTTATCAAGTATCACTGTCTGCTTGTTGGGAAGGTATACCCTTCTCAGTGCCAGTGAACAGGGTTGAAGTCCACAATGGTGGAAGTAAAAACATTACATTTTAAAAAAAATGCTCTTATGCTCTACTCCTTTGACTATTTTTCAGTGTTACTATTGTCCTAATCAGTTTCCAGGCATGTGAATTTTGAGTCATTTCATAAAATGTTAGCTCAAACTTCAATGCTTCTAAATTATTCTAAATTTACAATATCTAGAAACAATAGTAGCAACACCCCATGCCACTATCGCTGAACGTTTTTTAATCATCCTTAATTGTTTTTGCTTTCAAACCCTACAAATAGGAAAGTATCCAATGACTGTTAATATTTATCAATAAGATAGACTTTTGTAATTGTGAATTGCAAACATGTATATATATTTTTTTTACACACTTGATGGCATACAAGCTTTGAATGGCATATAATGAGGCATTCATGAATCATTTACATGATTCCTTTGTCTGTAACAATGTGCATATATTTACCCGGGCAATAAAAAAAATGTAATATTATGTCAAAATGCAATAAAAACATTATTATGTCTGTCGTATGCATCAGGATTTTCATAACTGAACATAACTTATGAAAATGATACCAGTATTCCAAAAACAAAGACAGTAATTTCATATAAAGAGTTCATATTTACAAATTATATTTATGTCACATTTTTTTGTTGTTAACACAGAGCTAAGATGACAAGATACAACAATGAAATATTTTAGTAAGCACCATGTAATGATTTGTATTTTTTTGTGATTCTTGTGAGAGAACAAGGTTGACACTTAGCATTGTTTTACAGGTAAAACAATGTAATTATTATTATTATCCTTACCATATTATTATTATTATATTCATTATTATTATCTCTAGCCATTGTATTAATGTAAACATTATAAAAGAATATCAATAATTATATTGATAGGCATGTGCAGTGCACTAAGGAGAATGATAATGATATTTGTTATAATTTTTAAAAATCTTATTTTAAAAAATAGATCTAATACTATGATAATCATCATCATCATCATCATAACAATAATAATAGCTGTGAAAGCAAACATTTGAAAAGAATAATACTATTGTAACCGTAATAATGATAATGAGGACAATAATACAATAGTTAAAACAATAATAATAATAATGATAATAATAATTGTAATAATAGTAATTACACAACGATATAATAAATTGTAACAATGATAATAATAATGTCAATAACAACGTAGTGATAATGATAATCATGATACATGTAGTATAGTACTAGTAGGGATAAATGATTATAGAAAAAGAAAAATTCTTCTCGATGCTGAATTACTGTTGTGCCTTTATCCTTCGCCAAAGCTCACGTCGCAGCTGTACTGTCAGTATAATCGTCTCCACCTTATATCTTGCGCTTCCCCCCCAACATTGACCCACGTTCAAATACGGTAGTGTCTCACTAACTCAACATATCTCCCCTAACATGTTGCCTTCTATCTATCTATCTATCTATCTATCTATCTATCTATCTATCTATCTATCTATCTAATGTCTGAGAGTGTCCTGTGTCAGCACGTGGACTGGCGCCTCGATAGCCATGGTCCATCATGCGTACGCTTGAGCGACCGCAGATATATATATATTATAGTGAAAAAGCACTCCCTTTTAACGATCGCCAGTATTTTTCTCAAACAGCAACATACTTGTTACTGGTAGGATACCGGCTTTTGCATTAACAGTTGTAGTATATGTTAGCATAAATTAATATCTTGAAGTGTTTTGTGGGTATCAACATTTAGTCATTAACATAACATGGAGTGACAAGTAATAAAGTCATTAGACAAGACAAAAGTCACATTTCAAATGTGTACCATTTCTCATTAAGCTTCAAGAAATTCGTTTAGTGACGCAAAGGACACAACGGATAAAAGTCAAAATTGTGAGCCGTTTTGTTTAGGATAGTTTGATTCTTTCACGCTTTCAATGCGCTGTCATTTCGGTCAAGTCTTCTTGTCTTATGATGTCTCGGTCATGGCATAATGGATATTATTGTGGCTATGTACTTCTCGTGAAATTCAAACTTAAAATAAAACCACATCACTCAAAGTTTTGTTTATATGTGTGAAACACCATAATATTATTGTTCTGTTATATTGCTCACCTCTTTGTTGAGATATAATGAGCTAACTGGTCTAGTCTTCAACATTTTATCAAAATCTTTTGAAGTTAAGTGGTTATATTTGAGAGGCCTGGCGTCAAGTCTAGCAGTCATATCCCACAAGGACTACATGAGCGGATGGTGAGCTATTGGGACTCCAGAAAAAAAACAAGGTCAAGAATACTCCGATTGAGGATTATCCCCAAAGGCGTTCTCACCACAATGCAGTCTGCTGCCAACTGGACTTATGCAGGCTTTCATACATCTTTCTGTATACGTGCAATCGAAGGCAATGAGTTTCATAGTTTCATCGTCAGGCAGAGCAATTCGCCACTCACTGGGCGATGGCGAAGCTCATTGATCGTTTCATTGTCCGACAGGGGTCGCTGCGGTTGGAGTTTGTGTCGAAAAGCCGGCGTGGTTGCGTCATCATAGACATATTCGCAATCGTGCTTCTCCTGGCCTGGATGGGCGGAAGCCGGAAGTGTGGTGGACTGTCGGAGACGGGGCTGTAGCCCATAGACGTCTGCTGCGCGGATGGTGACCCTGGTGTGAGGGCCGGACTTCGCGTCGTCTGCAGTGGAGATCGCGAGGAAGCTGTCAACTGTTCATACGCGTCAAATGAGGAGACCGGCCGTTCCCCCCTCTCGATCCCCTTCGGTCTGTGCAAGACGTCGGAGAACTTGGCCATGGAGTAGTTGTAGTCCACAATCCGGCCGTCTCGGTAGCCATTGTTCTTAATCCTCTCCACCTTACGCAGTCTCCTCTCCCTCGGATTCTTCTCCTGTATGACCTTGTCTACCTCCAGCCTCATGGAGTCCAGAGACAGCCCATCGTAGATACCGTTCCTCGGAGTCATCTCGGGGTCGAGGGTCGCGGATTCCCGCCGTTTCTTCAAGCACTTCTGAATACCACGTATCTCGGCCAATGAGTGTTTGTAAGGCATGGATTTCTGCCATGACCTATATCCATCACTGGCCTTGTTCTTGTCTACCACTTTGTTGGATATGTCCCTCTGAGCTCGGAGCTTGTCGTTTAGGATCGTGGTGCCCTTTCGTATCCGCTTGGACTGTTTCTGTAGACTAGTCAGTCGCGGGTCACTCAGGGCGGGCAGTCCGGCCATATCACCCATTGTGCTGGCAGAGTTCAGTAGTCACGCACTGCACTGGACTAACACTGAAGTACCACTTTACTTTTGGAGTTTTGTGTGGCGATCTTTTTATGGGGTTTCTTAATTTTTCGAATGCGTCCAACCCAGAAGGTCAAATCAAATGTAGAGGTGAGCTTATGAGACTTGCCTCGTGTTCTGTGGAGAAGCAAAGAGGGTGGAAATGTAATAATATTTGTGCTTTATTGTTCAATCAAGGTACACATTAAGTTATTTTTACTTTAATTTGGAATCCCCC